TCAGGGAAAGGCTTAGTGATTTTACAAAAACTAATTTGCAAACAGCCCAAGAGTGAGCCAAATCTCACAACGAGTTGATAGCCTCATAAGTAAACCCAAAAACTGGCAATCATCTTCGATCACATTCAAAGACGAACTCGAGGCAAGAAAATCGCTCAAACCTTTCTTTTAGAGCCAGAATTATAACTAAATATTCTTTGAAATGTTTTCTTTCTATTTGCGGTGAGAAAATGTCTAAAGGCTTTTTAAAGATCTGTAAGCTTATAACAAACCTGATACTCGGTCAGATCATTGTCTCAAATCTTACTAACGTGCGAAAACAAAATAGCCGCATAAACTACGCTCGACTTCATTAAATTAAGAATAAAAAACAAACATCAAATACAATAATTACTTAGGCTTACCACTCGAGATGCAGCTCCTGAAAGGTATCAAGTAAGGCCAGTATCGCTTCAGACTTTGCAACCCTCTTACGCATTAAGCAAGATGAAAACGAAAGCGATGCCATCCGAAATCGGATTTCCGACTTTGACTCAACCAAAAACCCAATAAACAAACTAGGCATGAATAACAGAAGACTCCTGATAGCAGCTGGATTTCATTTTGTACATCCAGTGGCAAAAGAAAGTTAAAAACATCACAAGTTGACACAAACCTCTGTCAGCTTCAGCTGTCAAAGTAAACAAGATTCAAGATGCTGCATAAATTTTCCGCATGAACTCACCTGTCAAATTTTGACCAATCAGAGCATAAAAATTGGACGTAGAGCGTGACCAACGCGTGAACATGGCGAGAAAAGTCAAAAGCAACAGTCTTCCCTGCCTGTAGCAGCTGGCTGAATTTTCGCGTCCGAGGTCAGTTTGAAATCAAAATTTTAATTGTGCGGAACATAAACACAACATATTTCACGTGAATTTTTAAAAAAGTTAAACTTGAGCCTGCGATCATTTGAAAACCAGTACCTTGTCAGCGGATAACTTCAAAAAAACACTTGACCTTGATGGGTCGACACCTGAGCCCGCGATACAGTCAAGTGATGCTGGTCAGCGGATACCTTGTTTTGACAGCTGTCAATGGATCACAACATTGACGTGTATCAATTTTCCTGTGCTCCGATCCCAAACTAGCTAGAAAGTATGAGACTGAACATTGATCGCGATCTTGTAAAATAATAAACTGGTCAGCGGACAGCTTCCAAATAAATCACATCACCTCAATGAGTTGTCACATGAGCCCGCGATATGGTCATGGGATACTGGTCAGTGGCTATCCTGTTTTGGCAGCTGTCAATTGACCATATTGTGAATGTCCAATGTAAAAGATGTGGACTTGACAAGACACGCCTGAGACACCTCTCCCTTCCTTTTGATAGTCTCCTCTACCCCACCCGTACAATCCGTAGACGCGTACGTACGCTCGGTCAATCACGTGACAACCAAAAGAAAAGAGGTTGACCATAATCTATGGGTATGGGGCTCTGTCCCACGCGCGCTTCGCGCGCGTGGGAGCCCCGCTATGATACGAAAGCCGAATTCAATGATTGTTTTTCATTATTTATTCAAAATATTTCCCCAATTCTGATTGGCTAAAAGCACACGCGTAATTCACCATAACCAGTTACTGATGACCAAATTCGGACACTTCACTCTCGGAGGATGTTATCCGCCTTGGCTCACGGCCTCGACGGATAACACCCTGCTCGATCTCCATAATTCTTCATAAGATACTCAGCCTCATTCATGAATTTTTAAGTTATTCATTCAAAATAATTCCCAGTTTAAAAACGTAGCTAAAACAAGCTTCCTGCATCGATGTTAAGTTTATCTTCGATAGTTTACGTTTAGGTTTGTGCAGCTCCGCAAATATTCTCCAAATAGCAGATATCGCCCTCCGAGTTGTCTTCTTGCTGTTTTTGCTATGTTTTTAACCATTATTTCGCCTAGTTCCAGCTGTAGTTCTTACTCTTGAAACGAGTGAAGTGTCCGCCATTTTAGTTTTTACAACGAAAACAACTCAATCTCGTCCCCAGGTCTTCTCGGTTAACGGTGCATTAACCTGTAGGAGGCTCCATTTTTGACGTCATTTCCTCGTTAAGCACAAAATTCTTCCAAATTTGGTCATCAGTAACTGGTTATGGTGAATTATGCGTGTGGTTTTAGCCAATCAGAATTGGGAAATATTTTGAATGAATAATAAATGCACGTTAATCAGTTATTTTAGATCAGATAACCATGTATACTTTTTTAACACACCCTCATAAGTCGAGTGCCGCGCAATATCTAGGCTATGTTTTGCTTTCGTTTGGTCTTACAAATTATTTATTTCACAGAATCCTAGTTTGTGCATGCAAGGAGCAACTGGACTTCCCGGACGAAATGGTGTGAATGGGCATAATGGGTTACCAGGCCGTGACGGTCGAGATGGTGCAAAGGGTGAGGGCCACCTGGACCACGTGGTATTAAAGAAGAAGCGGGACCAGTTGGAAAGGTCGCTGCTGAACAAAGAAACTGGAAACAGTGCGCGTGGAAAAACCAAGACGGCAAAGATGTTGGCCTTATTAAGGTGAGTACATGGGAGAAAATTACAAATTTCTCTTTTAGGGTGGGCGTTACTGGGCAATAAAAATTGAGGCGAGGGGGTCACATTTGATAGATAAGGCCATGACTCTTCAACTTAAGAGCCATTTAGAAGCGCTTCTCAAATGTTCCAGTCCTTAGTTCCTTTTGTCGGTTATTCTTCTTTTTGTGTTTGACTGTTTTTCAACTAACCTTAACGCGAAAATAAAGGGAAATTCAAAGTTTACCCTTCATAACTTTGAACGCAACCTCTTACATCTATTATTATTGGAATTTCGGTTGTTCATTCAATCACTAGTTGTGGGCATCAGATACCTAAAATGAACTCATCTGATAGAAAATCCTTTTTTAAAACCATGACCTTTCCTATACGGAGCGCATAGCTGACCGTGAGTTGTCCTAGGTAGTCTAGGTAGCGTGAACAAACTGTTTGGTGAGAAAAGAGTTGCTCCTTTTGGCGAGACTAGACAGCCCTACCTCGAGAAACCTGGGATCAGGAGTTGTTTCCAGGGAAAACGAAAAACGGCGAAGAGGCAAAACTGGGGCCAAAGAAAAAAGAGAGAAAGATCGCCTGATCTCAGGTTACACCTCAGGGATCGGTCATAAAGTACAGGGGGTGCGGGGGTGGGCTATGAAAAATTGGGGGTGGGTCACTATTTTTTAACACGTTAAAAAGGGTGGGTCAGGAAAAATAATGCACTGCATTAGGGGTGGGTCACATTAAATTATTCACATATCACTACAAAAGTTAGTAAAATCTTATTTTTTTAACAATAAATCTAATTTTCCACATTAATCCAACTTTATATGACAACAGGAATTCACATATTAGATATTTTGTTTCTATTTATGTACAGTCTTTACATCTGAAGAGTAGTCACGCGGGAAACTTTTTATAGTCTAAAATTTAGAACAAAGCTTTACTGTGTGTTCATAAACCGCTCTAACAGATCTGAAATATTTATCATTTGATGAAACTCCGATCACTTCACCAGAAGGACATTCCAGAGAGATAGATGATTATCAACCAAGGGCTCAGATTAAAAGGCATGCAAAAGAAAGAAAACTAACCCTGGAAGGCAGTGACTCAATTGTTGAGTTTTCCAAAACCTTTGCTGTTCAGGAATTACATGTGCGAAAGTACCTCGAGCACCTCCAATATCTTGAAATGAAGAAATTGAAACGAAAAGATGACAGAAAACGTCAGAGAGAAACTGACTCCCAAAAGACGTACGCTGATTACAACTGGGAAGAGACGTTCATGACGGAGACACTGAAAAAGCTAAAAGTATCAGCTCTGAATCTCTTTCTGGAAAAACACCAATTGGGAAATAAGAAAATGAAGAAAAATGAGAAGCTAGTATTAATTTCAGCTTGTTTAGCCAAAGCCCAGCTTGACAAAGCAACTATTGAGCAAGCTGCGAGAAAGGTTAACGTGGAAGAAAATGTTGATTTTCATGATGGCGAACACGAGGAGGAGACAGGAGACGATGAGGATGACTATGATAGTGTTCACGCAGATGATACTGATGGTGATGACAACAATGACTGTGGCGACGACGAGCATGATGGCAGCAGCAAAAACCATGATGTAGTTCTCCAAGAAATTGGAAGTTCCAGCGAAGAAGAGGAAGACGATGATGACGACGAAAAAGAATTGAATGATGGCATAGAAGATGAATTCTGTTGAAGAGTGGGATGACTTGTTACAACATTTCGATCTCGAAGATTTTTTGGAAATTCTGACTAAAGTGGTAAGCCAGTGTTCCCTAATGTACCTATCCACATCAGCGTTTCTGGTTTTGGTTGGGGTGTGGGTCACTAGTTTTTTCTATGCCACTCCAGGGGTGGGCCACCCCAATTTTGTCAAATAACTCGGGGGTAGGCCACTGAACACAGTACTTAAAAGAAAAAATTTTCATAGACCACCACCCCCCCCTTGTACTTTATGACCGGTCCCTCAGGTTGCCTCGACTTGCCTTCTCAACCAGTCCCCTCCCTTACCCTCTCCCACCCTCTCCCACCCCCTGTCCCACTAGGCAAGATCACGACCGTCATTGAAGTGAATTCAGTTGGCTAGCCGAGAGTCAATCTGAGGTCGGGGTGTCTAGGGTATCACGGATAGACCATTAATAAATGTGACCTTAGAAAACCGCAGTGCCAGTGCTGATAAGGTAAGGAAAGAATAGTAGGGCAGATGACTCAAGGGACTCTTCTGTCATTCTCTTTCAGTGTAATTTTTTTGGCCGGTTATAATTGTAACAAAATTTTATATACACATCGCTCTATTTATCGGTGGCTGACTAAGACCGTAATTAACACTCTGAACATAATCATAAAATTGCAACAGAACATTACGATTTGAATAATAACGTGGATCATATTTCACGGTTCTCCTGTGTGGTACTGATCGCTAACATAACAATGCTACTTTTTCAGGATTGCCAGTTTACTAAAATTAAAGACGATACAACTCTTCATGTTGTCTTCCAAGGAAATATCCTTCTGGGAGGTTGCAGTAACTGCTGCAAGCGATGGTTCATCACTTTCAACGGCACCGAGTGTGGCGGACCTCTGCCTATTGATGCCGTTCTGTGGATCAGTAATAGCAATAACGATGATCATAGACACGGAGCAATAGAAAGCTACTGTGACAACAAAAGGGAATATCCGCGTTGGCATCAACATTGGAAACTGTCCCGGTTATGGAAACTCCAATGGTCGCACGGGGTGGATGTCAGTGTCTCGTTTGATTATCGAAGAAGTTCCCGGTCCCAGCAGTAACGAATCCATCGTATCTCAATAACATTCTCCAAAGTTGAGTGTTTGTAGAGTCATGTTAGGCGTCAAAAATGGATACAAATATATTTTAGGCAAAAATTTAACCAACGTGCAACTGGTAGCCTCTGTTTGACTCTTTGTTTAAAATAATGATCATCAAACCGCATGCCCATTTTTTTTTTCTTTGCTAAGTGCAGCGAGTCTTTGCAGCATACGATGTCTGTTTTGCAGCAGCACGATGCCCCTTCTGCCTGCGCACCTCGAAATTTCGGCTCTGAGATTACCCGAGATCTATTTGAGTGTCCCGAATATGTCCTTTGGGACCTGGGATTTGCCGCCCTTTCTGCTTGCGCACCTTGTAAGTTCGGCCCTGGGCTAAACCAAGATCTGCTTGAGGGTCCCAAATAGGTCCTTTCGGTTTTCTAAATAAATGTTTAAAGTCACAACAACAACAACGGTCTATATATATTTGCATGACCATACAAACGCATACAGTATTGCAAAAGCTATGTTTAGGAATCAAAATTACAACACAGGGCAATTACGTTACTTTGATAATAATTTGTCACGAACATCAAAACAAGCTGAAATATATTTTATGAATTGTATATTGATAAGTGTATCTGTCTATTTCTATCATTAGTTTGTGATTGCTTATTCGTAGTTTTACTAAAGCCCTTCTCCCGGCTGTTCCTCTTGTTAAGTCTAAGTAACTAGAGAAGGTATGATCGGTTTTAAAACCCCGAACGCAGTCGTCCTACACCTTATATCTAAGTTTGGGTTTACGTAGTACACAGTTTACCGTCCGGTCAGATGTCTCAGGTAGCCTGAACAAAATGGTTATGTGAGAAAAAATTATGCTGCCGACCCCGGCTATACTACCCTCACGTTCCCTTCCCCCTCCTCGCTAGACAAGATCGCGATCGTCATATGAGTGAGACTGTCGGTTGAATTTTTCAACGATAAAGTACTGTCTCTTGGCTGGCCGAGAGTCATGCTCAGGAAGGGGTGTTTTGAGTACTCTAGACCATTTGAATGGGGCCTAATTATGGGATGAATGAGGTAGGGAAAGAAATTTGCTACAGCGTGCAATCCTGATATAAATGAAGGATTCAAAAGACTCTTCTTTTTTCTTTTGGTGACATTTTTTTAGCCAGTTACTTGTGTGTCTGTATATTAATACTCACAACGCGCCCCGCATGATATCGGTGATTGCTCTACATTTTACTGTACTCACTATCTTTCATCTCATTGGCTATTAAGAGCCTACAGTTAATTTTGGAAATGAGAGCAGCCTTCAGTTACAACATACAGATTACTAACTTATCTTTATCTGGTACCAGATAACTGACCAATCTCGTTTATAGAGGCCGCCACCCTTTTGGTCTTCGGCGGGGATTTGGGTATGACAAAAGGGACCCCTGGGGATCGGACGAGGTTGATAACTGACTGAAACAGTCATTTCGTCCACTTGTTCGTATCAGAGCTTTACTGGGCCAGGTGGAGACATTTGCACCTCACTGAGGAGAAAAGGTGCCTCAATGACTATGGCTTCAGCCTGCCTGTGAAATGTTTTTGCGGAACCTTTTCCGTATAAGGAAAAATATTTTGCTTTGTAGGATCATTCCATTCTTGTCATTCTCAAGAGGATTAAAAAGGTAAAGTCATCCATGTTTCGAGAGTTGTTTGCCATTCACACTCACCAGACACGATTAAACGGTTGTTTCATTTAAGCTCTTTCGTTGGCCTTCATTTGCCTGAAACCAAGACCAAAATGTTTGGAACAACCAGTGATGTGGCTGTAATGAAGTTGGTGTTGCTGTTTTGTCTCTTCTTTTACATCCGAAGCGTCAGCACAGTCGCCCCAGCCAAGGGAGGGTTAAAATACGATAAATTATTACATTTTAAGTATGATTAAGACAGCTATAAGATGGCTTTAATTTATGTCATCACAGTGTTCCTTCTTATTTCTCTAAATATTCTACACGACGCATCGCCGACAACTGAAGCTTCCTGACATATTTGTTAAAAAATGCTTGATACGATAAGAGGGCAACCACTTACACATTCTTGGAAGATTTCCACTTGATTATTAATTAACGGGGAAGATTTATTTGTTTACTTAGGGCGTGGATTTTGCGTATGTGGTCTGAGTGGTGTCATCGTTGACCTTCAGTATCTTCGTCTTATTTTTTCTTTTTATTCATTATTAATTATTTTATTTTTACCTAACTTAGGAAACAGTGAGCCTTTTTCCATTTCGGATTGTGACTCTTCTTCCGCATCCTTTGAAGCAAGGTCAACCACTGACTTAAACTTACAAACTTTTAATTTGTTTTCTTGGTTATGGATGGATGCGACTTGTTTCCCCTAACTTTTTGATCTAAAAACAACTTTTGCGACACTTTTTTTTCACTGGTTGCTGGGTATTTTATATACATTCCTAAGGGCCATCCTGGAAAAGAAAACTACATAAGACACAAGGAACATCCAAACTAGCGGGAGTTGCGTGATTTTGATTCAATACATGCACGTTAATCATTTATTTTAGATTAGATAACCACACGTTTTTTAGCACACCCTCATATGTCGGCAATATCTAGGCTATGTTTTGCTTTCGTTTGGTCTTACAAATTATTTATTTCAGAGAATCCCAGTTTGTGTGCGCAAGGAGCAACTGGACTTCCCGGACGAAATGGTTTGAATGGACATAATGGATGAGATGGTGCAAAGGGTGAGAAAGGCCTGCCAGGTCCATCGGGACCACGTGGTTTAAAAAGAGAAGCGGGTGAGAAGGGTGTGGCAGGGCCACCTGGACCACGTGCTGTTAAAGGAGAAGCGGGTGAGAAGGGTGTGGCAGGGCCACCTGGTCCACGTGGTGTTAAAGGAGAAGCGGGTGAGAAGGGTGTGGTAGGGCCTCCTGGGCCACGTGGTTTTAAAGGAGAAGCGGGTAAGAAAGGTGTGGTAGGTCCCCGTGGACCACGTGGTATTAAAGGAGAAGCGGGACCAGTTGGAAAGGTCGCTGCTGAACAAAGAAACTGGAAACAGTGCGCGTGGAAAAAGCAAGAAAACAAAGATATTGGCCTTATTAAGGTGAGGGTGCTAATGTGGGCACCCAATTCTCAGTTCACTACTATTTTCTCGGCCAAATATCAGTCAACTACTATTTTTTGGCCAATTCTCAGTTAGCTACTAAGTTTGGTTGGCTATTAACTTTCACTTTCCTACAGGGTATATTATTTCGTCATAAGCCGAATTTTCTCTCTTTCAGCAAGTCTATCACTTTTGGGGGTAGGCCCTAATAAAATCAAGGAATAAGCTTACATGAACTAACAATTTATTAGTAACTGAAAACATAAGTCGTATAACCATCAATATGACACCTGCCTCATAGATCCAGACGCCCCAGTCATGATCTCGTACTGATCTTCCCGACATGGTCATGCATGTCCTGCTGTAAACTACTTCAAATTCACCTTCCTCGGCACTTTCACTATCTGATTGGAATCAGTCTTGTACTTATATGGTTGCTGTATGTCCCGTATCTTGTTGTTGGCCTAAGTTTCAATCCATTCGTTTAATCCTTGCGATCCATTGCAACAGAAACATTACTGATCAATGCCAAAATATAGTCTTAAATAACAAAAATGGACCATTATTTTTGGAATTCGATTGGTGAATCCAATGACTGTTTGCACCAATGAAAGAGACATAGTTGAGAGTGGTGACAAAGGCATGAAAGTATTTGACACGGGACAATTCGACTTTAATTTCGTGAGTGTAGCCCACTTCGAACTCGTAGTTCTTTTAAGCGATTCCTTTACTGTGGTTCCAAGGTCTTGACGTAGTTCAAAGCACTAAATGTTTTGTGCTGAAGTGAGAAACCGCATGTAGGTTTTCCACCGGCGTTTGCAGAAGATTTTTTACATCGATACAGATTTTGTTGACATCCTCTTCCGTAATGTTACCTTCAAGTTCGCAGACGTACCTTATTCGCGTATTTCAAAAGCCTCATAAAGGTATCCAAGTGTTTTAAGAAATGAAACCGCCGAAACTGTTTCGGTAAGACCGGTTTAAACACGAGCTTTTCTTTCTATTAAAAGAGTCTCAATAGTTAGAACTCCAACATCAGTTACAAAAATGATTTCTCGTAAGTACAAATTCTATGTACTTGGAATAAAGACTGCTGATTTCTTTGAACCCTCAGAAATTCTTTTTAGCCAGAACCAAGGCTAAGAGTCACAGCTTTTTTATTTGGGTAATGTTTAACTTGACGATCTTTTGGGTCCGTGAAAACAGTATTTTCGTTTTCAGAACACGGAAATCTTGTTAATATCAGAAAACGAATTATTCGTTGAGTTGTGTATAACCAGCTCTTTGACTTACGCTTTCTGTTTGTCACGAACTGCCCTGGTGACTGTGCCTTTTGCACATAGTAATACCAGTTAATTTGCCACCTGGTCATCAGCGGGACAGAAAATTGTCAGAAAATAGCATTTCTGTTTGCAAACCTTTGTTGCTTTCATTAACATTAATATAATATCACTTAACTGTTAACTTTTCATTTATCAGTTAACTGCTAATTTTTTGGCCAATTATCAGTTAACTACTATTTTTTTGGCCATATATCAGTTAACTGTTAACCCCATTCGCACCCTCTGAGGTGAGTGCATGGGAGAAAAATTACAAATTTCCTTTTTTAGAGTCGGTGTTACTGGACAATAAAAATTGAGGCGAGGGAGTCACATTTGATAGATAAGGCCATGACTCTTCAACCTAAGAGCCACTTAGAAGCACTTCTCAAATGTTCCAGTCCTTAGTTTCCTTTCCTTGGTTATTCTTATTCTTTAACTCGATTAAACAGAGTCTTTTTTTAAATAAAACTTTCTTTAGTTAGTTCATAATGTTGCGTTTGACTCTTTTTTAACTAACCTTAACGCGAAAATAAAGGGAAATTCAAAGTTTACCCTTCATAACTTCGAACGCAACCTCTTACATCTAATATTATTGGAATTTCGGTTGTTCATTCGGCATTCGATCACTAGTTGTGGGTTTCAGATACCTAAAATGACCTCATTTGATAGAAAATCCCTTTTTGTAATCCATGAACTTTGCTATAAGGAGCACACGGCTAACCGCGAGTTGTCCTAGCTAGTCTAGGTGGCGTGAACAAAATGTTTAGTGAGAAAAAATAGTTGCGCCTTTTGCTGAGACTAGACAACCCCACCTCGAGAAACCTGGGATCAGGAATTGTTTGCGGGGAGTGCAGAAGGAAGAAAGGGAGAAAGAACGCCTGATCTCAGGTTACACCTGAGGTTGCCTCGTCTTGCCTTCTTCACATACCCCATCCCTCAAGCTCCCCGATCCCTTCCCCCACTAGGCAAAATTGCGATTGTCATATAAACTGCATTCGGCTGAATTTTTTAACGATGAAGTGAATTCAGTTGGATCTGAGGTAGGGGTTGCTCGGGTTTCCGAGACCATATAAATGTGGCCTTAAAACATCGCAGTGTTGATAAGTAAGGAAAGAATCGTAGAGCAAACGACTCAACAGGATTCTCCTGTCACTTACTTTCAGGGTAATTTTTCTGGGCAGTTATATGTGTGCCAAAATAAATATACGCGTTTCTATCGGTATGAAGTAAGGATAAACTACCATGACGAGAAGTCATTTGGCTAGCCGAGAGTTCGGTAGGGTTGTCTCGGGTTCTCGACCGATATAAATGTGCCATTAGAAAATTTAAAAATGATGTGGTGTATGAGCTAAGGAAAAATCGTAGGGAAGAGGACTTAAGGTAATCATCAGTCATTTACTTTAGGTGACATTTTATTGGGCGGTTATATGTGTGCCAAAATAAAAATACGCATCGTTCTTTGCGATATATCGGTGGCGTTAAGACCTTAATTATCTCTCTTAACATAGTCACAAAAGTGCAACAGAACAGACGTTACGATTTGAATAATAACGTGAATCATATTTCACGGTGTTCTGCGTGGGAGTGGTCGCTAACAATATATGTTGCTGTGTTTTCAGGATTGCCAGTTTACTAAAATTAAAGACAATGCAACTCTTCATGTTGTATTCCAAGGAAATATCTATCTGGGAGGGTGCGATAGCTGCTGCAAGCGATGGTTCATCACTTTCAACGACGCCGAGTGCAGCGGTCCTCTGCCTATTGACGCTGCTCTGTGGATCCCCAATGGTAACACGAATGACCACAGACACGGAGCAATAGAGGGCTACTGTGACAACATCAGAAAAGGGAATATCCGTGTTGGCATAAACATTGGAAACTGTCCTAATTATGGAAACTCCAATGGTAACACGGGATGGATGTCGGTGTCTCGTTTGATTATCGAAGAAGTTCCTCGGTCCCAGCAGTAACGAATCCATCGCATCGCAACAACATTCTACGATAGTTAAGTGCTTGTAAAGTCAAGTTGGGCGTTGAAAATAGATAACAAAAAATTTAGGCATAAATTTAATCAACACGCAACTGAGAGCCTCTGTTTAACTCTTTCATTAAAATATTGATAATCAAACTACATGCTCATTTTAATTTTATTTTTTTTAATTTTTCTCTTTACTAAGTGCAGCAAGTCTTTGCAGCATACGATGTCTGTTTCGCAGCACGGTACCCCTTCTGCTTGTTCACCTTGTAAGTTCGGTCCCGGGCTAAACCGAGATCTATTTGATGGTCTTCAATAGGTCTTTTCCGTTTTCTAAATAAACCTCCTAAGTCAAACTGTTAAAAGCGTGGTTGAGTCTTACCAGAGCGTCCGCCTTTCTGATTATTTTCCAAAGAGCATTCGACACCTCGTTCGTATTGTAATTTAACTGGGCCAGGTGGAGGCATTTACTCTTCATCAAGTGGTACCTTAAGTACTACGGCGTGTCGTAAAAAGATACCTCAGCGTGTACGGCCTCAGCCTGACCCTGACAAGTTTTTTTGCGATCCAAAATTATTTTTCATGTATATTTCCTTGTAAGGAAAAATATTTTGCTTTGAAGAGTCATTATATTCTTGTCCTTCTCGAGGGTTACAAAGGTAATGTCATTGATGTTTCTTGAGTTTAGCTTTGACGCTCATCAGACACGGTTAAACGAAGGTTTCATTTGGAGCGCTTACCGGTTGGTCTGCAAGTATCTGAAACCAAAACAAAATGATTGAAACTTCCAATCATTTTGTGACAATCGACGGTGTGGCTTTAATAAAGTTGGTTCTGCTGTTTTGTCTCTTCGTTTACATCAGAAGCGCCAGCACAGTCGCCCCAGCCAAGGTAGGGAGTAAAATACGATAAATTATTACATTTGAAAGGTGATCAAGACTTGGGAGATTTCCACAAGGTTTATTAATTAACTACTCACCTAGCTTAAACTGAGTCTTCCAAAACAAGAAATATTTATTTGTTAATTCCGCGCGTGGATTTTACATACCACAGTGGTCTTAGTGCTGTCATCGCAGCCGTTCCGCACCTTCTCGTTCGTATTTGTTTATTTATGTTTTTATAGATATTATTAATTTGTAGGCTGTTTTGCTTGTGTTTGATCTAACCAAATATATATTTTTTGCACAGAACCCCAGTATGTGCGCTCAAGTATCACCTGGTATTGCGGGACGAAATGGGCATAATGGATTACCCCGTCAGGATGGTCTAGACGGTGCCAAGGGTGAAAAAGAAGTGGCAGCTCCACCTGGACCACGTGATATAACTACAAGCGGAAAAGGTCGCTGCTGAAGAAAGGAACTGGAAGCAGCGCCCGTGGAAAAAGGCTAACGGCCATGATGTTGGTCTTAATCAGGTGAGTGAAAGACAATTCTTTATTCAGAGTCTGTTTTACTGGACCTAATTATATAATTCAAAAACGCTTCTCAAATGTCTTAGTCCATAGTTCCGTGTTGTTCCGGATATTCTTGTCTTTAATTCGTCTTAATAGGGTCTTTGAAATAACACTTCACTTCTCAGTTTACTCAGTTACTTAGTTACTTAGTTGTTTTAAACTTAATTCGTAATGGACATCGTAGGAAATTCAAAATTTACCCTACTTGAATCTCAGTCATAATTCCTAACGCAGTCGTCCTACATCATATTAAGTTTCGCTCGTTCATTAAATTACTAGTTTTGCGTATCAGAGACTTACACTGAAACTCGTCTTATACAAAATTCGGTTTCTAAACAATGACTTTGGCTTTACGAGGCACACAGCTTACCGTTCGGTCATATGTCTCAGGTAGCCTGAACAAAATGGTTATGTGAGAAAAAAAGTCTTCTGCTGACCCCTGCTATACTACCCCACCCTCCCTTCCACCTCCCCGTTAGATCGCGATCGTCGTACGAGTGAAACTGTCGGTTGAATTTTTCAACGATAACGTGACGTCTCTTGGCTGGCCGAGAGTCACGTTGAGGAAGAGGTGTTTTAACCTAGACCATGTGAATGGGGCCTAATTAGGAGGCTTAAAATGATGGGATGAATGAGGTAGGGAAAGAATTGGCTACAGCTTGCAATCCTGGTATAAATGAAGGACTCAAAATCCTTTTTTTTTTTTGTGACATTTTTTAGCCGGTTACATGTGTGTCTGTAAATATATACACACACTTAACGCGCCCCGCGTGATATCGGTGATTGCTCTCAGATTGTACTGACTCACCATCTTTCATCTCACTGGCTAGAGCCTACGGTTGATTTTAGAAATCAAAACAACCTTCAGTTGCAACATACAGATTAGTAATTTATCTTTATCTGGTATCAGATAACTGACCAATCTCGTTTATGAAGGCCGCCATCCTTTTGGTCTCCGACGAGGATTTGGGTATGACAAAAGGAACCCCCGGGGATCGGACGAGGTTGATAACTGACTAAAACAGTGTGGTCTCAAATTATTCTTATGAACATTTCCCTATAAGGAAAAATATTTTGCTTTTGTAGAATCATTCCATTCTTGTCATTCTCAAGGGGATTAAAAAGGTAAAGTCATCGATGTTTCGAGAGTTGTTTGCCATTCACTCACCAGGCACGATTAAACGGTTGTTTCATTTGAGCTCTTTCGTTGGTCTTCATTTGCCTGAAACCAAGATCAAAATGTTTGAAACAACCGGTCATGTGGCTGTAATGAAGTTGGTGTTGCTGTTTTTTCTCTTCTTTTACATCCGAAGCGTCAGCACAGTCGCCCCAGCCAAGGTAGGGTTAAAATACGATAAATTATTACATTTGAAATATGATTAAGACAATCTTTGTTTCTGGCTTGGTGTAAAGACTTTCGATTACCAGCTGTAAGATGGCTTTAATTTATGTCATCACAGTGTTCCTTCTTATTTCTCACAATATTCTCCACGACGCATCTTCAACAACTGAAAGTTCCTGACATACTTGTTAAAAAATGCTTGATACGATAAGAGGGCAACCACTTACACATTCTTGGAAGATTTCCACTTGGTTTGTTAATTAACAGGGACGATTTATTTGTTTACTTAGGGCGTGGATTTTGCATATGTGGTCTGAGTGGTGTCATCGTTGACCTTCAGTATCTTCTTATTTTTTCGTTTTTTTCATTTATTCTTTATTTTTATTTTTACCTAACTTAGGAAAAAGTGAGACTTTTTCCATTTCGTATTGTGACTGTTTTTCCGCGTCCTTTGAAAGAAGGTCAACCACTTACTTAAACTTAAAATTATTTATTTGTTTCCTTGGTCATGGATGGATGCAACTTGTTTCCCCTAACTTTTTGATCTAAAAACAACTTTTGCGACACTTTTTTTTCACTGCTGGCTGGGTATTTTATATACATTCCTAAGGGCCATCCTGGAAAAGAAAACCACATAAGACGCAAGGAACATCCAAACTAGCGGGAGTTGCGTGATTTTTATTCAATACATGCACGTTAATCAGTTATTTTAGATTAGATAACCATTTATACTTTTTTAAGACACCCTCATATGTCGAGTGCCGCGCAATATCTAGGCTATGTTTTGCTTTCGTTTGGTCTTACAAATTATTTATTTCACAGAATCCCAGTTTGTGCGCGCAAGGAGCAACTGGACTTCCCGGACGAAATGGTGTGAATGGACATAATGGGTTACCAGGCCGTGACGGTCGAGATGGTGCAAAGGGTGAGAAAGGCTTGTCAGGTCCATCTGGACCACGTGGTTTTAAAGGAGAAGCAGGTATGAAAGGCGTGGCAGGTCCACCTGGACCACGTGGTTTTAAAGGAGAAGCGGGTGAGAAGGGCGTGTCAGGGCCACCTGGGCCACGTGGTATTAAAGGAGAAGGGGGACCAGTTGGAAAGGTCGCTGCTGAACAAAGAAACTGGAAACAGTGCGCGTGGAAAAAGCATGACGGCCGTGATATTGGCCTTATTAAGGTGACTGCATGGGAGAAAAATTACAAATTTCTTTCTTAAAGTCGGTGTTACTGGGCAATAAAAACTGAGGCGAGGGAGTCACATTTGATAGATAGGGCCATGACTCTTGAACCTAAAGGCCATTAAGAAGCGATTCTCAAATGTTCCAGTCCTTAGTTTCCTTTTGTGGGTTATTCTTGTCTTTGCGTTTGACTGTTTTTCAACTAACCTTAACGCGAAGATAAAGGTTAATTTAAATTGTACCCTTCATAACTTCGAACGCAACCTTTACCTAATATTATGGGAATTTAACTCGGTTGTTCATTCGATCACTAGTTGTGGTCATCAGATACCTAAAACGAACTTATGTGATAGAAAATCCCTTTTTGAAAACATGAACTTTGCTATACGGAGCATACAGCTGACCGTCAGTTGTCCTAGGTAGTCTAGGTAGCGCGAACAAATTGGGTTCAGGAATTGTTTGCAGGGAGTGCGGAAGGAAGAAAGGAAGAAAGACCGCCTGATCGCAGGTCAACACCTCAGGTTGCCTCGTTTTGCCTTCTCCACCCGCCCCTTCTCCTCAAGCTCCCCGACCCCTTCCCCCACTAGGCAAGATTGCCACTGTCATATAAACTGCAGTCGGCTGAAATTTTTAACGATGAAGTGAATTCAGTTGGAAAGCCGAAAGTCAATCTGAGGTAGGGGTTGCTCGGGTTTCCGACACCATATAAATGTTGCCTTAGAACACGGCAGTGTTGATAAGGTAAGGAAAGAATCGTAGAGCAGACGACTCAACAGGTTTCTTCTGTCACTTACTTTCAGGGTAATTTTTCTGGCTTGTTATATGTGTGCCAAAATATCCGTATGCCGTTATATCGGTATGCAGTAATGATAAACTACCATGACCTGAAGTCATTTGGCTAGCCGAGAGTTCGGTAGGGCTGTCTCCGGCACCCGACCGATATAAATGTGCCATTAGAAAATTTAGAAATGATGTCGTGTATCAGCTAAGGAAAAAATCGTAAGGCAGAGGACTTAAGGCAATCATCAGTCATTTACTTTCACTGACATTTTTTATGTGTGCCAAAGTAAAAATACGCATCGCTCTTTGCGTTATATCGGTGGCTGTAAAACCTTAATTAATTCTCTTAACATAGTCACAAAATTGGAACAGAACAGACGTTACGATTTGAATAATAACGTGGATCATATTTCACGGTGTTCTGTGTGGCAGTGGTCGCTAACAGTATATGATGCTGTGTTTTCAGGATTGCCAGTTTACTAAAATTAAAGACAATACAACTCTTCATGTTGTCTTCCAAGGAAATATCTATCTGGGAGGGTGCAGTGACTGCTGCAAGCGATGGTTCATCACTTTCAACGGCGCCGAGTGTAGCGGTCCTCTGCCTATTGACGCAGCTCTGTGGATCCCCAGTAGTAACTCTCATGACTACAGACACGGAGCAATAGAGGGCTACTGCGACAACATCAGAAAAGGGAATATTCGCGTTGGCATCAACATTGGAAACTGTCCCGGTTATGGAAGCTCTGATGGTCAGACGGGATGGATGTCAGTGTCTCGTTTGATTATCGAAGAAGTTCCTCGGTCCCAGCAGTAACGAATCCATCACATCTTAACAACATTCTACAATAGCTAAGTGCTTGTAAAGTCATGTTGGGCGTCGAAAATAGATTTAAAAAAAAAAAACATCCTAGGCATAAATTTAATCAACGTGCAACTGAGAGCCTCTGTTTAACTCTTTCATTAAAATTGCCGTTCCAAGTTTATTTTTAATCTGCATTTGGAATTGGTGAAACCAATTTCTTGACAAATGCTGGAAACCATCTGTTCCTATTTTTTCGCATGGAAGGATTGAGCATGCGTCCTATCTTCCAATTATTCATTGTGATGTCACTTGCATTTTATGTTAGTCGGTCAATTATGTTATCATATGATGTATCCTCGTTGGACCTCTTTTTAGGTCAAAACAATTAAATGTCCTTATCACAAGTAACTTGGAACAGTTTTCAAACCTGCAGGACTAATGACGACGAAATGTATGGCTGACAAAAAAGATTTCTTTTCAATGCTAAACGAAAACAGACTAAAAGGTCCGACTAAAGCGCGATTTTAAGTGGTAAGTAGTGAATCATAATTTCTCGGTCAGTTTTCATGGTCTAGAAAAACTTTGTAAGCTACACTTAGATTTAATTTGTAGCAGATATAGTCGAGTTTGGTCAAAGAACACTGAAGACGAACTCGTTAACTCCTATTACTTTTATTCACGTTTCAGTCCTTTCCATGAAATTTCCTCACTTATTTTTTTAGAGGAAAGGCATTTATAATCGCCGAAGATAAACCAATGCCATCAGACTTGGTAATTGATCTTTCTAGTCTGCGTTTTGTTCCGGGAAAGCGAATAATTATATAAGGCAGTTTATATAAGGCGTTCACCGCGTTTCAAGTCGATCATTTACCCATTTATCTCAACTGATTCCTCGCATAACGTGGAAATCCGTCAGAAAATTAAGTCCGGCATTTCACTGTTTATACAAACAAGAAAAGTTTGCGAAAGTAATTTATTCAAAATCGTGACTTCGCTTTTCTAAAAACGTTAATGTTTGATTTCTTCAAGGGAAGTCGCGTGGCACTTTGTAAATATAAATACTGAACAGAAAAAAAAGCAGCAGTCGATCTTGATACAATAGTGGTATATTTTGAGCCGGTGGTGTGCGCTATTTATGACACCATGGCGAGGGAACAATTCACAAAATGAGAAAGTATCATGGAGCGCACCTGTAGAAACTGCTTTACAAAACGGTCGATAATTCGCCCCAGCCGGCTATATTCGTACTGAACGTCGACTAGAAGCGTTTTGTTACTGTTAAAAAGGTTAACTTAGAATAGCGATTAGTAAATCAGAAATGGGCTTCACTCACCCGGTCGATTGCTGCCCATTGTGAATTGCAAATCGCTGCTAAACTTGAATATTTCCTTTTTGCCAAGTCTATTTATTCTTCAAAATTTTTAAAGTCACGATATTCCTAATAGTCGATCGAATCTGAATTCATTCGACCTATAGGAGAATATGTCTATATAGCGATAGAGGAAGAACTCAGATAACTATTCTTTTTATAAATTTTCTTTCCTTTTTTCGCTGTCCAAAGATAGGAATCGGTATGAAGTATTGATAAGTTAATTTTTTGCGCTGTTAGAATTCATTTCTCTGGTGATAAGTGAAAAAATGATATACCTTTAAGTATATCAATTTTTTCAGTGCCAAAACGAGGTTGTTATAAAAATTATAAGAAACTGATCAACGCAATTAATCATGTGAATGTCTGATTTTTTTTCAAAATACGCGTTGAAAAAGGACTAGGGAAACCAAATGTTTCGAGGGTGCTCCCTCCTCTTCAGTGGTTTAAGGAAAAAAGCGAGTCTGTGGCGACTTTAAAGGTTTTCGTTCATGGACGATCATCACCTTTTTCACTTTTGGGTGAGCGCGTTCTATCGGTCTACGATTATTTCTGTGATGGATGCACTCTGATTTAACCTCTCACCCAGCTAGATACGTGTCATCAAAGTAGTTAGCTGCAGAGGGTGAAAAACGTAATTGCATTAAGTTACCCAACGTAAACTATTTTTCTGAACATCAGAGGGATTTGTTTGAAGTTGTCTGTGGTATTTTAGCCTTTGACTTAAATACACTGCTCCAAATAGCATTCCGCCCCAGAGAAACGCCCCGTCCAGGGTAGGGTAGGGTAAGTTAAGGTAGGGTCGGCAGAATGCCAGGGGCTACTGACAATAAACTGCCGCGTATAAGCACTTGGATTATACAACTTCTTAAAGGGTGTTAGGAGGGCTTATCAACGGGGGGTTGTATCCCTGGGGGTTTATAAGCGGGAGGTTCATATCCCTGGGGGCTTATAACAGGAATAGGAAAAGCTCGTCGAAATATAGCAGTGCTGATCAAAATACGTTTGGCATGTTCTGGTTTGAGTTTAAAAGCTTCAGAACGTCGTAATAAATCGAATTCATTTCAATACATTTTGAACAGGTCAGATGGGGTCTGTACACCTGGGGAGGCTTATAATTCGGATGTATTATATTTTACAGGCGGATGGGTCTGTAACTAGGGGGCTTATAACTGGGTCCGGGGGGGTATAAGCGGCAGTTTACAGTATGTCAATTAATGTAAATGACAACTCGATAACAACCTGCCTTTTGACTCTAAAACAAGAATTATCGTGCAAAAATTGTTAAAGTTATCTTCTCCCTCTCTGCTCTGCTTTACTCAGTAACGTGAAGGTCCCGAATCAAGTCACTGAGGTGTCTATAGGGTTGGTTTTGTTTTACGTTGTGTGTCTTCAACATGATGAAAAAAGCATTTTCTTTGATTTTCGTTTTTCTGTTGGCATCGTCAAATTGTTCACCGAATAATGCCAAAACTGTCTGCTTTGACCTCAAGGTAAGATAATTATTTCTTATGATTAGCTGTGAAAAACGAAAATGACCTCCTGTCGCTTAGTTCTAGATGAATGCGGTCGGTAGATTGAATTACGACGAGTTAATTCTCATATGAGTCGATAGGCAGCAATAAGATTTAAAGAAAAAGTATATATATTTGGGACGTTCTCTTTGCAGTTGTAGCATGAATTTCTGTCTTGGTTTTCTGATTTTCTGACAATACAATATAGTATGTATATTTCATAATTTTGAAAAAATAATGGGCCATAATTAAAAATATCCTAAAATACTTGATCAGACAGTAATCGCTGATGAAAAAAGGAAGATTCTCACGAGATGACACTTTTCTAGCCTGCTTGGCAGGCTCCTTAAAACGAAGTAGAAAGCTAGGGGAAGTTCCTTTGGTGTAAAAGGTGAAATCCCATAGGTGAAGAGAAATTCTCCCTAAGGGAAAGTGGGAAATTCAATGCAGTTTCTTTTGTTTTATTCCCCTAAACCTCGGAGTCAAGTAGTGATTTCAGTACATCGATCGAATTTTAGTGGGCTATTAAGTTCATTTCCATGAGTTAAAGGCAAACATTCTTCTTTTGTTTTATTTGATTCTAAAGCTGGAATTAAATCGATCTTGGTCAGATTTTCACCACCAACCGGGAGCCCACGGACTCCTGCATCGATTTGCATGAAATTGGCAGCCATCATTTATTTGTGGAATGTATTCGGCATAGTCATTATTCTATATCTACAACTCTTTGATACTCTTGTCCCTTAGCAACATAGTATGTGCTCGCAAGGTCCACCCGGCATTCCTGGAATGAATGGTCTGAATGGAAACAACGGGTCACCAGGAACTATGGGTGAAAAGGGTGTGGCAGGTCCAACTGGACCACGTGGATTCAAGGGAGAGGCTGGCGTTAAGGGAGAAACAGGCGTGGCTGGTCCACCCGGGCCACGTGGTGCTAAAGGAGAAGCGGGTCCAAGTGCAAAGGCTTCTCAACAAAAGAATTGGAAGCAGTGCGCTTGGAAAACGGGTGACGGAAGGGATACTGGCGTGATAAAGGTATATTGCAAACAAACCCTTCTACTGCCACCACGTTACGTTAAGTGAATCTCTCACAGTAAATAGAATCAACGGCTAAATTGTCATGAACAAATCACAGTCGTCACTTTACCTATTAGCGATAACTTCAAAAAGCTCTGATGAGGTTTTGCGCAGAACTTTAAAAATTCATTTGTTAATAAGAAGAATTAAATTAACGAGCTAACAAATTCGATAACTAAAATTTTGTCTTCTCTTTAAATGTTATATTAGTCACCAGGAGCCTACTAATTAACTATTTTCACTTCTTTATTGTGATTAGTCTCTGTATAGAGTCCCTCTCCTTCTGAGGGGAGGGGGGGGGGGGGGCGTCTGTACACAGTCTAATTGTGATGTGCCACGGTTTAAAAGGTATTTAATTTTCCTTTCCTCAAGTTAATTGACCAGATTGAATTTTGTTGTTGTTGTAACAGGAGTGCCAGTTTACCAAAATTAGAGATGACACAGCGCTTCGTGTAGTGTACCAAAGCAACTTTCGCTTGCATTGCAACCAGTGCGCTAAGCGATGGTTTATCACATTTAATGACAACGAGTGCAGCTCGCCACTTCCTATTGAAGCAGTCATGTGGATTAGAAGTAGTAGCCAAGACAATCACCTACCCGGCGCAATAGAGGGCTACTGCAATAATATTGGCAAGGGGAAAATCCGCGTTGGAATCAACATTGGAAATCTCGGGAAAGCAAACTCAGATGGTCAAACAGGCTGGGGAACAGTGTCTCGCTTGATTATAGAAGAGGTCCCTCGGTCTCAGTGAAAACGTTTTGATATCAATCAAGCCTAGCGCTTTTCAGTTGTTCATTAATTAAAATAACAACCTATAGATAAACTTTGTAGAACTGATATGAAAATAAAGCGCGTCTTGAGTAATAGATACAAGCATGTGGTTATGAGAGCTAATTATCATCATCATTATCATTATTGGAAAGCTAATTAACAATTATTCCTCGAGCCTGAGTGGGCTCTGAGTCAATAGGCCTCATGGGCTATTGACTCAGAGGCCAT